ATTGTTTGAGCCTGGGAAGCAGAGGTTGCAATGAGTTGAGACCAGTATCACTGCCCTCCAGTCTGGGCAACAGGATGACACCCTGTCCCAAAGAAAAACAAAACACAAAATAAAATGTTCATTTTACCACACTTGTGAAAATACTGGATGCATACCTTTTAAAATCTTTACCAAGGTTTGACAGGCAAAAAGGTAACATATTGTTTTAGTTTTCATTTCTTTGGTTATTAATGTTGTTGAAAATATTTTCATATGTTTAATGGTCATCTGAATTCCTCCTTTTGTAAACTATCTTTATGTCCTTTGCTCCTTCATGTTTGTGTGTTCATCTTTTTCATATTGACTTGAAAGAACATTTTTGTTTTTGAGACAGAGTCTTGCTTTGTCACCTGGGCTGGAGCACAGTGGTGCAAACCTGGCTCACTGTAGCCTCAACCTTCTGGGCTCAAATGATCCTCCTGCCTTGGCCTCTCGAGTAGCTGGGACTACAGGTGCAGACCACCAAGCCCAGCTAAATTTTTTTGAATTTTTTGTAGAGATGGGTTTCATCATGTTGCCCAGGCTGGTCTCAAACTCCTGAGCTCAAGCGATCCTCCTGCCTTGGCCTTTCAACATGCTGGGATTACAGGCATGAGCCACCATGCCCAGCACTGAAAGAACATTTTCTATATTAGGGGTATCAGCTTCATGCAGAGAAACCATACTGTTTCCACAAAGGTAATGCTTCTCATCTTCTCCCACCCAGGTGCTCAATTCATTTAGATAGAGAAAGACTTCTTCAGCCTGGTTACATAAATGTTAAAAACTTGATAGGAACCAAATACTTGAGCATTTTTTCTACTTCATTAATTTGATCCTGAAAAAGTTCATTTTACTAAGGAATAGTACCACAGTAAAACCCCACCATAAGAGGGTTCCAAAAATGTTAATTGTATAGATTGAGTGACTGAGTTATTATAAGGTTAATGAATAGAAATGGAGGGCTGGAGGGCCGGGCGCGGTGACTCGCGCCTGTAATCCTAGCACTTTGGGAGGCCGAAGCAGGCAGATCATGAGGTCAGGAGTTTGAGACCGTCCTGGCTAACACAGTGAAACCCTGTCTCTACTAAAAATACAAAAAACTAGCCGGGCGTGGTGGTGGACACCTGTAGTCCCAGCTACTCGGGAGGCTGAGGCAGGAGAATGGCATGAACCCGGGAGGAGGAGCTTGCAGTGAGCCGAGATCGCACCACTGTACTCCAGCCTGGGTGGCAAAGCGAGACTCTGTCTCAGAAAAAAAAAAAAAGAAAGAAATGGAGGGCTGGAGAAGAGCCAATAACCAGCTTTGTTATATCTGAATTCACATAATTGTGGGCATGTTTTTTTGAGGTTTTCGTGTTTTCAACACTCTTAAAAACAGGTTAACTATTCAGTTAGCACAAGTTCTGATTATTAGCAGACTTTCTAATATAGACTCAAGAGAAATCAAGTCTATTGATTATTAAAAGAAAGCACTAAGTCTGGAGTCTATGCCACTCAGGATCAGAGTTAGACAAGGCTGAGGCATAAAGACAACTACTACTTCTGCCTGTCTCAAGTCAACCATGAGTCATGCAGTTGCAGGGGCACTATAAGGTTCGAGTGAAAGAAAAGATAAGATGCAACCCCTTCCAGAAAACAGGTTGTACTTCGACGTAACAACAAATCCCTGTGACTAAAAAAGAAGTGGTCAGAAATATTTGAGCCAACGGGTATATAACATACACTTCATTTCCTTTGGGGCTTTATTTCCTTTGAGGCCTTTCTCCCTTCTTCTACTAGTTAGCTGGGGGCAAGGGAGGAGGAGGCATTAGGTAGGTAAGTTTTTAAGGGTACCTGTACTGTGGTATCAGTGGGATGTTCTTTTGTCAGAGATTGCCAGACCTAAGTCCCTATCAGTATTGTCTCACCTAATTGATACTGAGCGAATAATTTCCTTTTACTTAAACTGTGCAGTTTCCTTCTACTTAAAAGGTGGTTACTGGCCAGGCATAGTGGCTCATGTCTGTAATCCCAGTACTTTGGGAGGCTGAGGCAGGAGTTGGAGACCAGCCTAGGCAACATGGCAAAACCCTATCTCTATTAAAAAATACAAAAACTAGCCAGGCATGGTGGTGTGTGTTGGCAGTCTCAGCTAGCTACTCGGGGGGCTGAGGTGGGAAGAGAGCTTGAGCCCAGGAGCTGAAGGTTGCAGTGAGCCGAGATTGTGCCACTGCACTCCAGTCTGGGCAACAGAGCCAGACTTGGTCTCAAAAAACAAACAAACAAAAAAACCAAGCTTATCATTCATCAAATTCCTAAACTCCTAATAGGAAAACTGGCACTTTGAATCCTATAGCCTGATCAGCTTGCTGAAGAATCTCTAGCTATCGAATAGAGGCTGAAGATCGTGTGTTGATTGAGGGTAAACCCTGGGGTCAGACTGAGGCAGCAGTGAAAGCCAAAGGGAGTCTAAGGAGGTGCATCACAGGCCTTGGTGGCCTGAGAGGACAGGGCTTCAGGGCTTCAGGGCTTCATGCCCAGAGCATCTGCTTCAATAGAGCAGCCCCGCTTTTATATGTTCTGTATACTGAGGTCTCATGTCAGATTTCTTAAAAGAAAAAAAAAGGGTTCTGTAGCTGCTTTAAAAATGCAGAAAATCTCCAAGTTATACTATCATCCTTATTTTAAAATAAGGAGCTGAAGTTCATAAAAGTGAAAGGCCTTGCTTAAGGTTACAGGATTAAACAGATTATCTCTATTATGATCTATTACAAGCTGGAGTTGGATTATTGTGCCTGTTTCAGTAATATACTAACAAAGCACTGATAAATTTAAGTTAAAACTTCTCAGTTTAGTATCTCTTTAGAAAAAGAACCAAAATGATCTAAACCAAATTAGACCCATTTTTCTGAAATAGACGGTAATATGCAGGACAGTAAGTAACTTTAAGTAAAAAACAATTTTAACATACTCAGCTTTGTTTTTACCTCTGTACTAAAAAGAGATGGCTTCTGAGGCTTTCAGTACAGTCTATTTTTATAATTCAGGAGAATATGAATATGAGAAATAACCATTTTTTCCTTCCATTTTTAGGCTACTAGTCTGATAAACTATGTTTAATGTATTTTACTTTAAGACTTAGTTCATAGGGCCTTGGGCTGGAAAATTTTAACTTAATCCTATTACACAGCATTTCAATTCAACATATATGATCAGATTTTCCCATTAATCATATTTTGGGAATGGTCTTAGTCAAAAACAAACAAACAAACAAAAATAAAAACCACACACACAAACCCAAATAAAACAATACCCAGAAAGAGCAAAGAAAAATGTTGTTTTATCTTTCCTTGTTTGTCCTCTCCCGAAACAAATCATGTCTAGTGCCTACCTGAGCCATCAGTAGGAACCGAACTTGCATTGATTCCAGAAAGACCAAACAAAGGACATTCTCGATCTGTGTTGACATGACCCCATTTGTGACATTTAATGCACCTCACATTTCGAACCTGAGAAATAATGAATGTGATTTTGGTTACTGAAAAAGTAAGAATCTAACCAATGTTCAAATTCCTATTCCCTGATAGAATTTAAGCTGAATTACATTTTTAAAAGATCTCCAGGGAAAAAGACTCCAAACTATGTTTGGTAATTGAATACAAAGACTAAAATATTTCACTATAAATTTTGCCTAGAAACTAAGCTGAATCTCATTTCTTTTTACCTTTCACTTGGTGGCAATATAATGTCATCCAAAAAGAAATGGTAAAATACCAAAAAGAATTATGTCATTATGTGAAGAAATTAAGCTTAAATTCTCTCATTTTAATAAGTTAACCTTTAAAGTTTCAAATTTCGAAACCCGGAGCTAGTAAACATTTTCTGTAAAGGTCCAAATGTAGTAAATATTCTTATAGGCTTTTGGGGACAGATGTTGTCTATTCTAACTACTCAACTCTGCTTCTGTAGTGGGAAAGCAGCCATAGCCAATAAGTAAATGAATAGGCAAAGCAGTGTTTCAATAAAACTTTCTTTACAACAAGGATTTGCCCTCTGATGATAGTCTGTCCTGATTCTAAACCAATAATAGATTTAAATCTTTTCTTGACATTGAGCTGATTCTCCAAATTTTTTGAAAACTACAGAGACCAATATCATTATAGCTCTCACTATAAAAGTTTGATTCCTGTCTTTTTTTTTTATTTTTTGAGATGGAGTCTCACTCTATTGCCCAGGCTGGAGTGCAGTGGCGCAGTCACGGCTCACTGCAACCTCCACCTCCCGGGTTCCAGTGATTCTCCTGCCTCAGACTCCTGAGTAGCTGGGATTACAGGCACCCGCCACCATGCCAGGCTAATTTTTTGTACTTTTAGTAGAGACAGGGTTTCACTATGTCAGCCTGGCTGGTCTCGAACTCCTGATCTCATGATCCGCCACCTCAGCCTCCCAAAGCGCTGAAATTACAGGCATGAACCACCGCACCCAGCCTGATTCCTGTCTTTTATCAGCCTATTACATTTTATGTTTTCTCCTCTATTCCTTATATTATCTCATACAAATCAAAACCCACAGTGCCCCTTTTCAGCTTAAACACCTTTCAGACAACAATATAAAAATATATTTATTAAATAAAAATTATTCTTACAGAGTAAAATATGTGTTACTTGCCTGAATACCAAAGGGCTGATCTCTGATGTTCATGTCATCTTTCGCATATCTATTAAATAGAGGAAATGTACAAACACAAAATTAAGAATAATTTAAAAATTAAACAGCAGTTAATCAGAAAAACAGTTTTACACTTCTAAGAACATTATGAAATATATTACTTCAGTAAGAATATAGAACTATAAAATCTATCTAGTATTTCCAAACACCATTTAGTTATTATGTGTCTAGTCTGATAATCTGTGATTTTAAAAAAATGAAAAAGTATATAAAACAAAAGACTATGATCAAGCAGATTAGTTGAATAAGACAGCTAATTAAAATCATTAAAAATAACTTTTCACATCAGTTGCCTCCTCTAATGACTGAAAAAGCAACATAAAATGGGATATCAGTAAATGTAAACTTAACGATACATATCTGGTCTTAAAAGTAAACCAGTCCTTACTTTTCTCGTGGGGCTCCTTTCTGCCATTCAAATTTGTATTCGGTTTCTCCTTCTGTTTCTTCTTTCTAAAAACATTCATTGAAAATTCTTTTAATTTTTCCATATAACACAATCAATTGCAAGTAAATTCAGACACAGAAAATAGTCCTTTACCTCTTTGTTTTCTTGATTGCATATCAAAAATATGGAAGAAAAAAGGTAAGACAAGTTAAAAACATCAATATAAAAATCTACTGTATTCACTATATCATGTTATTTAATTGTCACTTATAAGAATTCATTGGTTTGACTTTTTTTCTTCTTTCACAAGATAAAAATTCAGACCACTGCAGGATAAAATACAAAATTAAAATTAATAAGCATGTTAATTCACAGTTATTAAACTTTTTACTGTTCATTGACAGTGAATATTATGTTTTTTATTTACAAATGCATTAAATATTTAGTAAGAAGGACTAAAGATACATATACAAATTATGAAAGAATAAGTGTACTTTGGACATAAAGGATTTTTTCCTCCTCAAGGGCACATTATGAAATATTACCAGATTAGAAAGATATTTTTTAGTATTTATTCTGTTGTATGATTATAGTTTTTATTATCTTCACAGGATAATAGCAATTTTAAAAGATGGAGAGCAACTTTAAAAAAATATCTGTCATAGTACTTTTCAATCTTTAGCTGCAAACACATCCAAGACTTAAAAGAAAAGGAAGGAGGCCAGGTGAGGTGGTTCACACTTATAATCCCAGCACTTTGGGAGGCTGAGGCGGGTGGATCAGGAGGTCAGGAGTTCAACACCAGCCTGGCCAACATGGTGAAACTCTGTCTCCACTAAAGACACAAAAATTAGCTGGGCGTGGTGGCATGCTCTTGTAATCCCAGCTACCCGGGAGACTGAGGCAGGAGAACTGCTTGAACCCAGGAGGTGGAGGTTGTAGTGTGCCGAGATGGTGCCCCTGCACTCCAGCCTAGATGACAGGGCAAGACTCCATCTCAAAAAAAAAAAAAAGAAAGAAAAAGAAAAAGAAAAGGAAGGAGATAAGTACCTTTTTTAGCTCCTGGTGGGGCTTCATACATGAAATTAAGGCCATTCTTTACACGTTCATCTCCCATAAGCAATCTAAGTGAAACAAGACAAAGTTAACAATTTTATGTAGGACAAAAAAAAAAAAAAAAAATTATAGAATAATCCACTCCCCACCAAAAAACCTAAGGGAATTAGGATGAAATATTTTTGTTAGAAACAGAATTCCAAAACTTTACTCCACTAACTAGATTACATCCAAATGGAAATTAAACAGTGCTGCCTCTTTAGTAACTGGTTATAAGCTCTGAGACTTTCTTACTACCTGAGAGACCCTAGCCATCTTAACAAAAAAGAGGAAAAATAATACGGTTATTTTTCTTACAGGATTTTCTCAAACCCTGAAATGCTGTGGGAATTATGACAACTTTGAAATCCTATATGCCATCACAAATTTACAATTAAGTTAAAGAATGCCAACACCTTTTCTTAATTGTAAGGGATCAAATTGTTTTGTTTTTTCCCAACAAAAAAAGAAAAGGCAAAGGGATCAGTTTTGGAAAAAATGAGTCTCTCAGGGATTTCTTTAGTAAGTCAAATCCAACCAAGGCTTGTAAGAGTCACAGTAAATGAGAAAATAAAATTCTTTCATGAGGCCAGTGAAAAAAGAATAATTTAAAGAAAGTCTATGGCTGGGCACAGTGGCTCACACTTGTAATCCCAGCACATTGGGAGGCCGAAGCAAGTGGATCACCTGAGGTCAGGAGTTTGAGACCAGCCTGGTCAACATGGAGAAACCCCATCTCTACCAAAAATACAAAAAATAGCCAGGCGTAGTGGTGTGTACCTGTAATTCCAGCTACTCGGGAGGCTGAGGCAGGAGAATCACTTGAACCTGGGAGGCAGAAGTTGCAGTGAGCCGAGATCGTGCCACTGCATTCCAGCCTGGGTGACAGAGCCAGGCTCTGTCTCAAAAACAACAACAGCAGCAAAAAAGTCTACACATGCCAATTAATATGATGGACTCAGTGTCTGGTGCATGACAAAAATCACATTATTTATAGTTCTGTTTTAACACTGAAAGTTCCCTGTTTGAGCTCTGTTTAAAAAAAGATACGCTAGGTTTTTTAGAACAAAAAGCTCTGTAATGAATGGAATGACTGGTTGAGTCAAAGTTTTAATTCATAAGATCCAAGTAAAAATAATAAAGAAGGAGGCTAAAGAGTGAACATAATTTTTCCTTATATTTGGAAAAGACAATCACAAAGGATATATGACATGATTATAATTCCTCTCCTTATATCCACTGGATTCTATAAAGACCTGTAAAAAAGAAGCAAAAGGCCACAGGGATCTACATCCAATAGATGTAGATACAGACAGAGTGATATTCAGCAATAAAAGGGATTGAAATACTGATATATGCAATACCAAGGGTCAACTTCAAAAGCATTACGCTATGTGAAAGAAGCCAGTCACAAAAGACCACATGACATATGATCTAATTCATAGGACATGTCCAGAATAGGCAAATCTATAGAGACAGCAAGGAAATTAGTGGCTGCTCAGCACTGAGAGGTAGAAGGGGGACAAGGCAGGGGAATGAGAAGTGACTGCTAATAGATAGAAGATTTCTTTTTTGGATAATGTAAATGTTCTGAAATTAGATTACAGTGATGGCTCCAAAAGTCTAAATATACTTAAAAACAACAAACACTTTAAACAGGTGTATAAGTTATATCTTAAATTCACATCATTAAAAATATCAAAATTAGCCCGGCGCAGTGGCTCACGTCTGTAATGCCAGCACTCTGGGAGGCTGAGGCAGGTGGATCTTGAGGTCAGGAGTTCGAGACCAGCTTGGCCAACATAGTGAAACTATGTCTCTACTAAAAATACAAAAATTAGCTGGGCGTGGTGGCAGGTGCCTGTAGTCCCAGCTACTCGGGAGGCTGAAGTAGGAGAATCGCTTGAACCTGGGGGGCAGAGGTTGGAGTGAGCCAAGATCACACCACTGCACTCCAGGCTGGGCGATAGAGTGAGACTCCATCTCAAAATAAATAAATAAATAAATAAATAAAATCAAAATCAAATACACTGAAAGCCAAGCTCAGTATCACTAGTTATTAGGGAAATGCAAATCAAAATCACAATGAGATATCACCTTGCACCTACTGGATGGCTATCTTCTGGAAAAAAAAAGGAAAATAACAAATGCTAGAGAAGATACAGAGAAACTGAAATCCAAGTCCATTACTAGTAGGAAATGTAAAATGGTGCAGTCACTGTGACAACCAGTTTCATGGTTCCTCAAAACGCTAAACATAAACCTACCATGTGATCCAGCAATTACACTCCTAGGTATATATCCAAAGGAACTAAAAACAAGGACTTGACCAGCTATTTCTATGCCAACTTTTATAGCAGCATTATTCACAATAGCCAAAAGATGGAAGTAACCCAAGACTCAAACAGATGGATAAACAAAATGTGGTATGTACATACAAAGGAGAATTATTCAGCCATAAAAAGGAATATAGTGCTGATACATATTACAATATATATGAACCTTGGGCACATTATGCTAAGTGAAACAAGCCAGACACAAAGGAACAAATATATGATTCCATTTATATGAGGTATTTAGAATAGGCAAATTCATAGACAAAGAAAGTAGAATGGTGGTTGCCCGGGGCTGTGGGCCAAGGGGAATAGGGAATTATTCTTTAATGGTTTAATGGTTACAAAGTTTCTGTTGGAGATAGTGAAAAAGTTTTGGAAATGATGATAGTTCACCACACTGAATTTAAGGGTACACTGAATTGCACACTTAAAATGGTAAATTTTATAAAATACGTATTTTACAAAAAAACCCACAGACAAACCATTTCATTTATATGTGTATTTTTTAATTTATTTCTCTCTCTTTCTTTCCTTGTTTCTTTTTGTTTTTTAGAGACAAAGTCTCACTATGTTGCCCAGGCTGGTCTCAAACTCCTGGACTCAAGCAATCCTGCCCCAAAGTGTTGGGATTATAGGCATGAGCCATCGTGCCCAGCCCAATTCATTTACATTGAAACAAAAATAATAATAAAACCCAAACTAAAAGATTGTTTCCCACATTATGCAAAATTCAACAAGTATATAAAGTAAAAGGTATGGGTATAATATTGGTATTTTTGTTTTAACCTCAACTAAAAACTTACATAGTTTTTTGGACATCCCATAAATCTTCATATTTACCTAGACAGAATAATAAATGTGATTTTCAGCTGGGCGTGGTGGCTCATGCCTGTAATCCCAGCACTTTGGGAGGCCAAGACAGGAGGATTGCTTGAGTCCAGGAGTTCAAGATCAGACTGAGTAATACAGTGAGTGAGAGACCCTGTCTCTACAAAAAATAAAACATTAGCCAGGTGTGGTGGTGTATGCCTGTAGTTCCAGCTACTCAGGAGGCTGAAGCAAGAGGATCGCTTGAACCCAGAAGTTTGAGGCTGCAGTGAGATATAATTGCACCACCGCACTCCAGCCTGGGCAACAGAGCGAGACCTTCCTCTCAAAAAAATTTTTTTTCATTTAAGAAAAAAGTATAAAGTGACTAAAGCGATTGATATAATAAACATTAAGAAATCTCTAGGACAGTAAAAACTTAAAAGAGAAACCACAGATTACTGAAGAATGAAATCGGCTATCAAAAACAGCACTTTTGAAAGACGAAGAAATATTGAGTACCTACTCCATGCATGGTAATAAGTGATATTATAGGGACCTACTGGCAAATGACCAATTACTCATACATTTGCACTCAAATGACCAAACCTAGAAGTAATAACATCTTAGTGGCAATGAACACACTTAGTGCTCAGATCCTGGTTTCTAAATATCATTCACCAATGAAAGGAACCTGGGTGCCTTGGAAAACTGGTTGATTCCAGTGTTGCATCAGGGAAAATAAAAGACAAGTCTGACCATCTCATGGGACCAGAAGCAGCATTAAAAAAAAACAAAACAAAACAGGGTTGGTGCATGTTAAATGGATATAAGAGCCAACCTAACGAAGCTCTCAATGGCCCAAACTGAAACAACTGGAGCAAGAAAATAAGTAACAATAGTATTATATTATAATCCAAAGAATTAAATAAACAGCCATGAGTCCATATTGATAGAAAATAAACAACTAGATAAGGGAAATTCTTCCTTACAGAGGAATTCAAATAAATAAACGTAGAAGGAATGACAGAAATAGAAAATAACCATTAGAACATCACAGAAATAAATAATTGATGCAGGCAAGATCTACTGATGAATACCAAAATTAGGCAAAAGTCCAAGGAGAAACAGGGTATTTGCAGGGCTTCAAATATTAATTAAAAGGGAAAATAGTAACTTTTTTTAAAGATAAAGAATAAACATGAATACTGTGATCTGTTTCAAATCTAGTTTTCTACCTCCAGTCTGTTTTTATCCCTCTAACTCAACAATTGTTTCCTGAACACCTTCTCCATTTTCCAATATGTTTCTACTATTAATAATATAAAAATTAGGTTTTTATATTATTTATTTGTTTGTTATATATTTGTTTATTTATTTGAGATGGAGTTTCGCTCTTGTTGCCCAGGCTGGAGTGCAATGGCGTGATCTTGGCTCACCGCAACTTCTGCCTCCCAGGTTCAAGCGATTCTCCTGCCTCAGCCTCCCGAGTAGCTGGGATTACAGGCATGCGCTACCACGCTTGGCTAATTTTGTATTTCTTAGTAGAAATGGCGTTTCTCCATGTTGGTCAGGCTCGTATCGAACTCCCGAACTCAGGTCATCTGCTCGCCTTGACCTCCCAAAGTGCTGGGATTATAGGCATGAGCCACTGCGCCCAACTAAACTAGGGTTTTTAAACAGTGATGCTATTGACATTTTGGACTAGATAGTTCTTTGTTGTGTGGAGCTGTCCTATGCTTTGTAAGCTGTTTTGCGGCATCCATAGTCTTCACTCACTAGATGTTGATAGCAGCCGAGTCCACAGTTGTGACAATCAAAACATTATCAAAACAATGTCTCCAAACATTGCCACATGTTCCCTGGGCAGGGTTGGGGGGGTGAGGGGTGTGTGCAAAAAATGATGCTCAGTTGAGAACCACCTATCTAAATCCTTATCATTCTTCAGATTTCAGCTTAAATGTCACCTCGTCCATAAAGTCTTCTGTTATCCTAAATGGAATTATTCTTTCCTATACTAACATGCTGTATTTTCAAAAGCAGTGTATGCTTTTAATATATCAGTTATTATATTTGGCCTTGAACTATATGTATGTATCTCTTACTAGGGTTTCTTAAGGGTAGAGAGAAACTACACTTCACACACTTTTATAGGTACCTATAATACCACTTATTGCCATGCATGGAGTAGGTACTCAATAAAAGTTAATAAGATTAAATAAAATTAGAGAGAAAGCTATTTAACTTTTATTTCTTTAACTTTCCTCTCAATATATTATATTTTAAAAAGTATTAATAGTTTAGTATTACTTTGCTAAATTCCATATTTTGATTGAAAACTGAACTTCATGGACAATTTACCAAAACACCACTATTCAGTTGCTTGATTAACCAAGAGAAACCAGTTTCAGTGTTAAATCTGCACATACAACACAATAGCTAAAGGCAGGTACCACGTTGGAAGACACCAATTAAGAACCCTAGCCACGATACAGCTTTTAACAGAACAATGACAGGCATGTCAAATAAAGTCACTTTACTTTTCCTCTTGAAAGTGTCCTGCGTATCTTTTCATTTGAGTGTGTTAAAGAAATAAGTTTGTAAGAGGTCTCAGCAGTTCAAGTGTAGATATGATTGTTCTTCTAAGCTTTGCCTAATTTGAGACTTGCTCAAAGACTGTATATGAGTCACATGAATCTATATTTTACATGAATTATGGGTAAAGCCGGAAAAAGTGGCCATCTACAGGTATGAGAGTAAAAGAGATAGCCCTCAGGGAAAGAAAAGAATCCTATAGTTGGGTATTCGATCCCAAAAAGCTGACTTAATATATCATTCAGTAGGAAATTATTCCCATGAAATTGATAATTCTAGATATATTGGCATAACAGAATTTCTTACCTATTATCATATGATTCTTGTTCTTTAAGATATTGCTGCATCAATTCTTCTTGTTTCTTCTTATCATATGATATCTTCTGTTCTGCCATCCACACCTAGATTAGTGAAGTAAAAATGCAAATTAAATTGTTGGATTTAAATTGTTAAACAAAGTTTGCTTTTCTTGTATAATAAAATATAAAATGCAATTGCTTAAAGCAGGAGTGCCCAATCTTTTGGCTTCCCTGGGCCACAGAAAACACACCAATACACAGTGGAAGAAGAACTGTCTTGGGCCACACAAAATACACTAACGATAGCCAATGAGCTAAAAAAAAAAAAAAAAAAAAAAAAAGAGGGCAAAAAAATCTCATAATGTTTTAAGAAAGTTTACAAATTTGTGTTGGGTGGCATTCAAAGCTGTCCTGGGCCACATGCCACCCACAGGCCAAGAGCTGGATAAGCTTGGCTGAAAGTTTATAACATAATCCAGTTGGGCCGTAATCACATCATTACAAATTAACACCTGAAAAACTGGAAGTGCCTTGATACGAGTTCTTTTTATTTTTGAGATGGAGTCTGGCTATCACCCAGGCTGGAGTGCAATGGCACAATCTCGGCTAACTGCAACCTCCGCTTCCCAGGTTCAAGTGATTTTCCTGCCTCAGCCTCAGAGGCAGCTGGGATTACAGGAGCCCACCACCACACCAAACTAATTTTTTTGTATTTTTAGTAGAGAAGGGGTTTCGCTATGTTGGCCAGGCTGGTCTTGAACTCCTGATGTCAGGCAATCTGCCTGCCTCAGCCTCCCCAAGTGCTGGAATTACAGGCGAAAGTCACAGTGGACTGGGCAAACTTTGGTTTTTAACAGCTGTATTTATAGTTTAAATTACGTTAACTATATTCATAGGTAGTTAATGTTATACATTTCTTACATATCCTTCCGAGATGTTCTAATATATGTATATGCAAAAGAACATATACAACATTCTTCTTATATAAATGGTAACATACTTTACGCAAACACACACACGCACACAAAATATGTATGAAATAAAATTATATACCATGGAGATCTGATATCATTTGGCTGTGTCACCACCCAAATCTCATCTTGAATCATAGTTCCCATAATCCCCATGCGTCATGGGAGGGACCCAGTGGGATGTAATTGAATAATGGGGGCGGTTACACTCCATGCTGTTCTCATGATAGTGAGTGAGTTCTCACGAGATCTGATGGTTTTATAAGGGGTTTTTCCTCTTGCTTAGCACTTCTCCTCACTGCTACCATGTGAAGACGGACATGTTTGCTTCCCCTTCTGCCATGAATGTAAGTTTCCTGAGGCCTCCCCAGCCCTGCAGAACCATGAGTCAATTAAACCTCTTTCCTTTATAAATTACTCAGTCTTGGTTATTTCTTCATAGCAGCGGTGAGAATAGACTAATATAGTAAATGGGTATAGTAGAGTGGAGTGCTGCTAAAAGGATACCTGAAAATATGGAAGCGACTTTAGAATTGGGTAACAGGTAGAGGTTGGAACAGGAAAATGTGGGAAACTTTGGAATTTCCTAGAGAATTGGAGGGCTCAGAAAACAGGAAGATGTGGGAAAGTATGGAACTTCCTAGGGACTTGTTGAATGGCTTTAACCAAAATGCTGATAGTGATACAGACAATGAAGTCTAGGATGAGGTGGTCTCAGATGGAGATGGGAAATCTTTTCAGAAGTGGAGTAAAAGTCACTCTTGCTATGCAAAGAAACTGGTGGCATTTTGCCCCTGCCCCACAGATCTGTGGAACTTTGAACTTGAGAGAGATGATTTATGGCATCCAGTAGAAGAAACTTCTAAGCAGTAAAGCATTCAAGAGAAAGCACAGCATAAAATTCTGGAAATTCTGCAGCCTGACAATGCAACAGAAAAGAAAACCCTATTTTCTGGGGAGAAATTCAAGCTGGCTGCAGAAATTTGCACAAATAATGAGAACTGAATGTTAATCACCAAGACAAGGGAAAATGTCTCCAGGGTATGTCAGAGACCTTCACAGCAGCCCCTCCTATCACAGGCCTGGAGGCCTAGGGGAAAGAAAAAAGTGGTTTCCTGGGCCGAGTCCAGCCTCCCACCTGCTGTGTACAGCCTTTGGACTTGTGCCCTGCATTCCAGCCACTCCAGCTATGGCCATTGCTTCAGAGAATGCAAGCCCCAAACCTTGGCAGCTTCCATGTGATGCTGGACCTGCAGGTGCGCAGAAGGCAAGAATTGAGGTTTGGTAACCTCTGCCTAGATTTCAGAAGATGTATGGAAACACCTGGATGTCTAGGCAGATGTCTGCTGCAGGGGTGGAACCCTCATGGAGAACCTCTACTAGGGCAGTGGGGAAGGGAAATGTGAAGCCCTCACACAGAGTCCCTACTGAGGTACTATCTAGTGGAGCTGTGAGAAGAGGGCCACTGTCCTCCAGACCCCAGTATAGTAGATCCACCAACTTGCACCATGTACCTGGAAAAGCCACAGACACTCAACACCAGCCCATGAAAGCATCCAGGAGCGGGGCTATACCCTGCAAAGCCACAGGGGCAGAGCTGCCCAAGGCTGTGGGAGCCTAGCTATTGCATCAGCGCACCCTGGATATGAGACATGAAGTCAAAGGAGATACTTTTGGAACTTTAAGGTTTAATGACTGCCCTATTGGATTTTGGACTGGCATGGGGCCTGTAGCACCTTTGTTTTGTCCAAATTGTCCCATTGGGAATGAGTGTATTTACCCAATGCCTGTATTCCTGTTGTATCCAGGAAGTCACTAACTTGCTTTTGATTTTACAGGCTCATAGGTGGAAGAGACTTGCCTTGTCTTACATGAGACTTTGGACTTAGACTTTTGAGTTAATGCTGGAATGAGTTAAGATTTTGGTGGACTGTTGGAAGGGCATGATTGTGTTTTGAAATGTGAGGATATGAGATCTGGAAGGGGCTGGGGTAGAATGATACAGTTTGGCTGTGTCCCCACCCAAATCTCATCTTGAATTGTAGTTCCCATAATCCCCGCGTATCGTGGCAGGGACCCAATGAGAGGTACCTGAATCATAGGGGCAGTTACCTCCATGGTGTTTTCGTGATAGTGAGTGAGTTCTCACGAAATCTGATGGATAAAACCATCAGAAAAGGAGCTTTTCCTCTTTTGCTCAGCATTTTTCCTTGCTGACACCATGTGAAGAAAGACGTGTTTGCTTCCCCTTCTGCCATGATTTTAAGTTTCCTGAGGCATCCCCAGTCCTGCAGAACTATGAGTCAATTAAACTTCTTTCCTTATAAATTACCCAGTCTCAGGTATTTCTTCATAGCAGCATGAGAACAGACTAATACTAATACAAGACTAACACAGATCAGTGAACAAATGCTTTCTTCTTTTGGGTGGTAAAGTTGCATATTTTTCTATTGTAGGACTATACCATAATTTATAATTTATTTAAGTAGCCTCCTACTGTATAAATGGGCACTTAAGAAATTTCCAATATTTTGCTATTAAAACTTTGCCGCAAGAACTCAATACACAGGTAATTTCACACACATTTGGCAGGGTTTTGCAAAGGATCAAGGCATTGCCAAGGAAAAAAACAGGGCAAGATATTACTGGCAGAGGGAACGACTCAGGCAAAGGCCCAAAGATGTAAAATAGAACGTAAGTAGTTCAATATTACTAATGTATAAAATCTGAGGTTGGGCCGAGGTGGGCAGATCACCTTGAGTCAGGAGTTCGAGACCAGCCTGGCCAACATGGTGAAACCCCATCTCTACTAAAAATACAAAAAGTAGCCAGGCATGATGGTGTGTATTTGCAATCCCAGCTACTTGGGAAGCTGAGGCAGGAGAATCACCTGAGCCCGGGAGGTGGAGGCTTCAGTGAGCTGAGACTGCGTCACTGCACTCTAGCCTGGACAACAGAGTGAGCCTCCATCTCAAAATCAATCAACCAATCAAATAATCAATCAATCAATCTAAAGTGGGAGAATAGAGGAGAGAAGGAGAAAAAAATGGAGTGAGATTACTTGGACTCAATCCTGTAACATTTTATTAAGGGGCTGAAAGAGATCAGATTTGTGCTTTAAAAAAAGACAATTCTATCAAAATAACTTACATCCATACAATGGAATATTATTTAGCAATAAAAAGGAATAAAGTGCTGATACATGCCATCCCATGCATAAACTTCAAAAACATTATGGTGAGATTAGCCAGTCACAGAAGACCACAGATTGCATGATTCCATTTAAATGAATTTCCAGAATAGGCAAATCCACTAACAGAAAGTAGATTAGTGCTTGCCTAGGGCTGCAGAGAGGGAGGAGAGTTAACGAGAAATGGGAGTGACTAACAGGTATGGGGGTTTCTTTATATTTTTTGAGACAGTGTCTCACTCTGTCACCCAGGCTGGAGTATAGTAGCGCAATCTTGGCTCACTGCAACCTCTGTCTCCCGGGTTCATGTGATTCTCCTACCTCAGCCTCCCAAGTAGCTGGGATTACAAGTGCCTGCCACCACGCCCAGCTAATTTTTGTATTTTCAGTAGAGACAGGGTTTCACCATGATGGCCAGGCTGTCTCGAATTCCTGACCTCGGGTGATCCAACCACCTCAGCCACCCAAAGTGCAGAGATTACAGGCATGAGCCACCGTGCCCTGCGGGGGTTTCTTTTTGGAGTGATGACAAAGTTCTAAAATTGTCTGTGGTAATGATTACTTAACTCCATGAATATATTTTAAAAACCACTAAATTGTACATTTTACATGTGTGTTTATATGATATGTAAATTTATCTCAGCAGAGCTGTTAAAATGAAAAATAACTATTCTGATGGCTGTGTAGTGAATGGATTTGAGAGGATTCAAGATTGGAGGCTGTAGAACCACTTAGGAAATGCAACAATATAGGTGAAAGATGATGAGGGTCTAAATTAAGACACAGGCAGTAGTGACAGAAAGACGGATTCAAGAGATATTTGGAAGGTAAGACCAATAGCATTCAGTGATTGACTAGATAAAGGAGTGATGGGAAAAGGGATGAATCCTGAGCTTCCGGTTTGGGTAGTAGGATGAAGGATTGTTTTACTATCTATATTTCTACCCATATGAGATAGCAAGCATAAAAAGGGCAGATTTGGGGTAAAAAAACCTTTTATTTCAGATATGTTGAGTTTGAGGTGCCTATAGGACATCAAGACGCAAATGTCTAGATAGCTGTCTTGAGCCACATCAAAGTTAAGAAGAGAAAACTGGGACTGCAGATTTGAGTCATGAGTAAACAGGCTAGTTAAAACGGGCTAGTTGGATGTGATTGCTTGGGGCAAGCATACTAAGTAAGCAAGAAGTGGGCCAAGGATGAAACTCTGGGGAACACTTATATTTTAGGAGCAGGCTAAAAATAAAGATCCAGTGAAGTTGATGGAAAAAGAAGTCTACTAACAGAGCGGGAAAACTAGAAGAGAGTAGTTATTACAGCTAAGAGAAGAGAGACTTTCACAAAAAAAGGAGTTTACAGTGGTGCTATTGTCAATAGCCGGTTTGTAAAGTGTTCCAGTTCACAAGAAGACAAATAAGGAGCTTGGACCACAATGTAAATTAACTGCTTCCTTCATTAACAATATCAAGAAAAAAAAAGAACAGCTGAACTAAAACAGTGTATCCTGTGACATAAATGACTGAGGCAGCGCATAACAATACATAACAGAGTGACCAGCAGATGTATAGCATTCACTCTTATTTCTGGTAAACAAATGAGACCTTAAAACCTACCAGACTCTTTGTAAGCTTGGGAAACTGAAAACGAACAAGGAAAAAAAGAACCTACTGGACTTTAATAAACCCAACATGCTTAATTTTACAATTAGAATTTTCTTTCTTTCTTTTTAAATATAGATGGGGTCTCACTTTGTTGCCCATGCTGGTCTTGAACTCCTGGCCTCTCAAAGTGTTGGGATTATAGGTATGAGCCACCATACCTGGCCCTTAAAATTTTCATGGTGGAACTCTTTTGCACTCTTTGATCAAACTCCTTTGTTTCTTCCACTTCTATTTCTTAAAAACAAACAAACAAACAAACTTTACTGAAGTATGACATATAAAAAGTTGTACACATTTAATGTATACAACCTGAGTTTGGTGACAAGTATATCCCTGAGAAACCATCACCACAATCCAGACTATAAACATATCCATCATCTCCAAAAGTTTCCTCCTACCCGAATACATTTTTCTATTTATCTTCATTTAATATAGTTCCTCTATCTTTAGTTAACTAAGAATGTTAGAGGTTACCCCCTCTCCCCATAAAGTGTTAACTATCTAGAAAGGTCTGCTAATCAAAAACATTTCATTCTTCTCCTCTATCCTGGGAAAAGTATAAAACAGATCACAAAGGCCAACAGTATTTGGTACATTTTACATAACACTTTACACGGATGAGAAGAATGTAGGTTCTAAGCCTATAACTGCTTTACTGAATTTCTCATAGGGGATTTGCAAAAGTTATTCTCCGTGGATTTCTTTTTTCTTGTAAGAAAGCTGATTCAATGACTTTTATAAAGCTAAATGTCAAAAGTTCCAGTAAAAAATTATGATTTCTCAGGTATATTTGTCTCTAAATATAAACAGCAACTAAGCAAGCAACTGAATTCCATCTAATCTCTTCATTCTTGTAAAACTAGTAATAGCTGACCCCCTGAGTATGCACAGAAAGGAAACGTCTGTGTTAGGTGTCAACAGTTATTGAGCCAACCAAATACAAGAAATCTCTCCCTCCCACAGTTGCAACCACGCAAACACAAACTGGTGCGGTGGAAAAAATCACTAGATTAATCGGGTGTTCCAGATTCTAGTTCTGGTACAACATTTAACTAGCTGTGTAACTCTTGGCAAATTTGTTTCCTCATTTACAAAATAAGGAGATGGGGCTGGATGATTACCAAAGAGCTTTCAAGGTGTATCTGTGTTATTAAAATTTCATGGGGGAGTTACTAAGAAAAAATGTTTAATAAGGCTCCTTAGGAAGGTAACAGTGAAAAAAAGTTGAGAATCACTGGTCTAGAAGTGAGAGTATATAGCAATATCTCATCACCTCAATTCGTTCTAAAAACAAATAAAAGCTTAGTTATTTTCACAACTTTCTATATAGCGACAATCAACATTTTATTGAGCACCTCCTCTCTGTAGCGAACAGTGATAGATGCCTACGTTGTTTCAAATCCTTTATCTCCACTATTTCACTTAATCCTCACAATTAAGCCAATCACCCTTAATTTACAGATTAGGAGACTGAGGGTCAAATATTACAAATATTTTGTGCAAGGTCTTAAGGCTAAAAGTGACTGCTCGAATAACTAGAATCCAGATTTGACTCCAAAGCCGATTCTTTCTAATTCACTCTTCTGCTTTTCATTACTATGATATTCACCAAGGTATTACATCTGGTAGACCTGTAATTACGTAAAACACTAAACTTCAACGAGGTCATTAAAAAGACACTAGATTATTGGGTAAATTTTTTAAAGAGCTATCTTAAATAAACGTGGAGACTTCTTTGTACAGAAAAGTAGAGTTCAGAAGCCGTGATCCCTGGGATCCGAAAAGACAAAAAACCAGAATCAGCTGAGGGAAGTAGTGAGGAATTTTGACATTAGTCTTCACATATTATGGATTTACATTCCGGCCGACAAAGATTCTCTAGGCCGCCGGTTTCCTCGCTGTTGCAGAATAAACGCTGAGGATCCCCTGCGTCAGCGAGCTGCTCAGCAAAGAAAGGCGAGACTACGGGGCTTTAGGCCTAGAGAAGCGGGGGCTGTCCTACGGTCCTCAGAGACATCACCACTTTCACTTCCAGCACCTCAGGGAAGGCAGTCTCCGTGGGCCTGATCCCTCCCCAGGTCTCTTTACTCACTTTTTTGATGTTGGATTTGGAGGCAGGATGAAAGTCTTTCTTACACATGAAGTTGGCGAAGGATTTCCCCATCTTGGAACTGGAGCTAGGGAAAGCAGCACCTAGATCTGTAAGTAACGTAAACAAACTCAGTCTCCTAACCGGAACTGCTTTTCCAGCGGCAGGGGGAACTTCCGAGGTCAAAGGTAACAGCTTCCGGCAACTGATGCCTACAGTGGCCAATCCTCCCTCCGTCCACCTGTCACTTCGGGTAGTTTGGAGGCCAGGTGAGGGGCGTGCACGGGGGAGGGGCGTGCATAGTTGAGACAGAAACCGGGAAGACCCAACTGTGGGGCGGTACTGCTTGACCGAGGGGCTCCAGAGCCCAGCTGCGCTGGCTGCGATTTGAGCGCCCAGGGCCGGGGTGCGGGGTGGACCGCGGCGGCCCTTCGACCAAAGGTGCTTGAAGCTCGAGCCCATTACTTTCTGTGAACTCTGACTCGAGTTGTAAAAACTTTTCTGCACTGTTTTTCTCATCTCTGTTATGGAGATAATAATTTCTGCCCTAACTGTAGTACGTTTGCGAGAATCCAACGATATGTTTCTGAAAGCGCCCGCTCAACTAAGAGCGCGTGAAATAGAATGAGACAGCTTTGCAAGAACGGAGGCCCTTGCCCCAGCTGTACGGTGCTGGCGCCGAAAGACGTTCAGTAAAGACTTACTGAATGACGAATACACGTTAGGAGTTAGTAAAATCTCTCAAGGCTTCACCTCCTCAGTGGGCTAGGTGCCATTCTAACCAGGCGGCAAGTTTCCTTAGCTTTCCCTACCACCCCAGTTAGGCAGCTCAGATTACCTATTGCAGCTTGATGGACCTTGGGACTCCAGGTTTTTGAGTGGACGTGGCTGCTACTGCAGCAGGTGACCCACCAACCAAGCTCTCTATCAGGGTAATGTTAAGAATAAACTTATACCGGGCGCGGTAGCTCACGCCTGTAATCCCAGCACTTTGGGAGGCCGAGGTGGGTGGATCACCTGACGCCAGGAGTTCGAGACCAGCCTGGCCAACGTGGTGAAAACCCGTCTCTACTTAAAATACAAAAAATTAGCTGGGTGTGGTGGCACGCGCCTGTAATCTGAGCTACTCGGGAGGCTGAAGCAGGAGAATCACTTGAACCCGGGAGGCGGAGGTTGCAGTGAGCCGAGATTGCACCATTGCACTCAGCCTGGGCAATAAGAGTTAAACTGTCAGGAAAAAAACAAAAAAGAGAATAAGACTTTATGAGAAATTTTCTCTCTTACCAAATAACAACAATAACAGCTTTCATGTGAATATCTAGTATGTTCTATGCACTGTGCAAAACACTTTACATGTTTCCTTATTAAGTTCTAACAGCCCATCAAACAGTGTCTTTTTTATTTTACTGGTGAGGCAGAAGGCATAGGGAAGAGAGAGATTAAATAGTCTGCCAAAATTATATAGTGATGGAACTAACTGTAAAACACAAATAGAAGGAGATCCAGGACATAAGGATTGAAACACAGAAAGAAAATAACAGAAGCCATCAAGACATCAGACTTCTCACTAGGAGAACAGGAAAACCCTTAGGAGTTTCAGGCTGAAGTTTTTCTTTACTCATTTTGTTTTCTTTTTAAGGAAACATTTATTATATTTAAATTTTGTTTTTAAATTGCTAGCATCTGCCTGTGTAAAGCCATTCTAAGGTTTTGTCATTATTAAAGGAAAGAAGGAAACTCTGTAAAACAATGTGTCCATTCTGGCAGCGAAATAAGGATCTTTAGGTGTTCTATTATAAGTGAAGATCTAAGATTTTCCAAATTACAACTGAAGAGGTAACCTAGATATTAAAGTATATAATTGCGATTTATAAATTCAATATGTGAACTTTCTTCTAGAAATGCCAACAATTTGAAATTATATTGACATATTTTTGTCTGAATCAATGAGTCTGTTTCAAAATTTCAGTCTCATCAGAATTATAATCTGTGTGTATTATTTCCCAGCTGAAATAAGACCCCTTCTTCCTTCCCTTGAGGAAGCATGGGTACATAAGATTTTTTTCCATAAGACAAGTTCCAGCAATGAGAATACAAAGATTAGTAAGACATACTCCCAGCCCTCAAGGATCTCATTGTCCAGTAAAGGGACTTATATATACACAAATGTAGTAGAATCTAGCCTTTACAACAGTAGAGCTAGGTACAGGGATTTCCAAATGTGGAAATGGTGAAAGGAAATTCAGGGAAGACTTTAGGAGAGAAAGATCTTAGAAAATAAATGTGAACTATAAACTATAAGAAGGTAGTTTTCATTGCCATTTTCTTATTGAGTTTTAGTACAAGATTGAGTCCCAAGTCATAGTCTTATTGATTTTTAGGCTATAGTATACAAAATGTAAAACTTTAATGAACAACCAAGAATGGTCACTCATGCCTGTAATCCCAGGGCTTTGGGAGGCAGAAGAGGGAGGATCTCCTGAGCCCAGGAGTTTCAGGCTGCAGTGAGCCCTGATTGTATAACTGCACTCCAGCCTGGGTGAAAAAGCTAGACCCTGTCTCCAAAAAATAAAAATAAAAAAATCAAAGCTTTAATGAACATCCTTAATTAAATATGGCAATAATATCCTTTGGTCATTGAGTAAAACTGTTTGTTTTTATATACTTAAAGGTGTTTTTTTTTTTTAATTTTAAAACATCTGTATAATTTTTAGTTTAAAAAATGGAACCTTTTTCCTGTGACACGTTCGTGGCATTATCTCCAGCAACAGTCGATAACAGGATTATTTTTGGAAAAAATTCAGATAGACTCTGTGATGAAGTACAAGAGGTAGTTTATTTTCCTGCTGCAGTTCATAATAACCTGGGAGAACATCTTAAGGTAGGTGAAATAAATGTTTTGTTAGCAATATCATAAAGTTATTTTAAAAATATCATAAAGTTATTTCTATAAATAGGAACTTGGAAGAAACTATAAAAGTTAAAATTGAGGAATTTACATTTGAAAAATAAATGAGTCAGAAATAAACCGTAATCTTTTATTTCAGTGATTTGGAGGAAGTTGAAATAATAATAAAATTATCTATTCTTTGAATAAATATTTGAATGCTCTCCATATGCAAGCATGTTAGATAGGGCAAGTGATTTAAAGTCAGCTGTCAAGACTCTGACTATTCCAGGAGCTTAGAGTCTAGTATAGGAATAAGATGTGTATGCATTATACCCCATTATAAAACTGGGTGGTTTAAATGCTAAATTTAAGTAAGAGTAGCATGCTGTGGCAGCAGAAGAGAAGGAACATTTAATGCGGCTTGGAGTTAGCTGGAATTTGATGGACAAAAAGGATTCTGATTCTGAATTGGTATAGGTTCTTCTTGATGTAGAATAGGAAAGTCATCCCAGACTCTGGAAATGACAGTTTTATGACACATCAAAAAAGGTTTTTTAGGCCCTATGTTAACACTATCAATATACATTTTATGCAGTCACTTGGTAGTATACACATTAATTAAAGGATCCTTTAAAAACTTATTTTAAAAACCCATTTAATGTGGAACTTAAAATGAGAGCTTCAAATTATGCTATTGTTGCTAATTCATACTTTTTAGATTTTATTTTATTGATATTCTAATATTAAAACATATTAAATATTAGACTGTTTTCTGTATCCTATGTCATATTTTTTTCTTTTGCTAAGACCACTTATTCATCTGTGATACCATTTCCACTTTATTTCTTCAGATATAAATCTAGCCTGTCCTGTAAACCAGTGGTTCTCATTCTTTTCATTGCTGTGGACATACCTAATAGATGACTTCAAAATGTGATGTGAGATTCCTATGACAAAACTCTTGTATTTGAAGGCTACCAGATGGGTACTTATATCACTAATTAAGAAACACTGGATATTGAGGTTGAGAACTACTTCCTTAAGCTTCAACTCACACATCTACAAAAATGTTTCAAGATATTACAGCTAGAGACCATCTTTCTCCTGAGCTTCAGTAGCACCTTGTCTTCACTTCATGACCCTAATACTTTATACTTTATTTTATCTTAATTAATGTACCAGTTTTAGTTTCTCAAAAGTGAGATCTTTATCTGATTCATCTTTGTAACTACCATATCTCTTGGCAGAATGTTTTATAATAGGAAATGCTAGCAAATATTTGAATGAATAAATACTTTAGGGTTATTCTGGATATGTTTTAAGGGTAATGCTTTTATTATTGAAAATTTCAATTTACTTATATTTCCTTTACCTCTTTCATAACAGTCTTGTCTTCTGACTGATTTTTTTAAATTCTGGATTTTGATAACTTTTCTGGTTTTGTGGTTCTTGCTGTGACTTTTTTTTTTTTTTTTTTTTTACAGTGTACGTATATAGAAATTGATCAAGTTCCTGAAACGTATGCTGTTGTCCTGAGTCGCCCAGCATGGTTGTGGGGGGCAGAAATGGGAGCCAATGAGCATGGAGTTTGCATTGGGAATGAAGCTGTATGGGGAAGAGAAGAAGTTTGTGATGAAGAAGCACTATTAGGAATGGATCTTGTCAGGTTATTTTTTATTTTTTGTTACGTTTCATGCTATAGACCTTTTCTAATTCGTAATTTTTGTGTAACTCTTACTTGTTTTCTTTTCCTATTTTTGAGGAGGCTTTGATACTTTGCAGTTTGTGTCAAAATGTTTTAAAGTACCGGCATGCAATTTCATGACTCTCAGTTTTGTTTGGTTTTTTAAATTAATTAATTTTTGGTTTTTTGAGATGAGATCTCACTGTGTCATGCAGGCTGGAGTATAATGGTGTGATCATGGCTCACTATGGCCTTGAATTCCTGAGCTCAAGCAATCATCCCACCTGAGTCACCCAAGTAGCTTGGATCAAAGGCACGTGCCACCACACCTGGCTAATTTTTAATTTAAAAAAATTTTTTTTCAGAGACTAGGGTCTTGCTATGTTGCTTACACTTGTCTTGAACTCCTGGCCTCTAGTCATTCTCCTGCCTCAGCTCCTGAGTAGCTGGGATTACAGGCACAGGCACCATGCCCAGCTTTCAGATATTATTATTTGGGATAAGGGAAGAAGTAGGAAATTATGATTCATTGGAAGTGCCTAACATATTTTAATCACACCTTAACTAATTCTCACAATAACCTCAT